GGTTCGGGCCGCAGCGAGGGCTGCGGCAGGACCCCTCCCCGCCGCGGGGCGCCCGGGCCGGGCCAGGGACTCACCGTCCTCCGCCAGCAGGGACGCCCACGGGGCCGCCTCCTTCTTGAGCAGCGTGAAGGAGACGCAGCCATCCCGGATCTCGGCGCGGCTGCGCTCGGCGTCGACGGGGGCGAAGAGCGCGGCTTCGAAGAGGAACGGGGGCGCGCTCACCTGAGGGAGCGGGCAGGAGCGAGTGACTCGGCGTCCGCCGCGGCCCCGCGGGGCGGCGTCCCCCCCCCGGCGCCCAGCCGCGCCCACCTTGAGGTACCGCTCGGTGCAGAAGACGCCGTCGCGGCGGGGGCGCGCGGTCCGCACGGGCACGGTCAGGCGCACGGCCTCGACCGTCTGCTCCCAGCTGAAGTCGCGCAGCCAGACCGGCATGGCAGCGGCGGGCCGTTGCCAGGACGCTGGGCGCGCGGCCTGTCGGGAGCCGCCGCCCCTCCCGCGGCCTTCCGCCGGAAGCTGCCCCCCGCGGGCTGCCGGGAGCTGTATGCGCCGGCAGGGGAGGGGGTGTGCAGGCGCTCTTCTCCCGGCCGCGGCCTACACCCCGCGGCTCCGCGGCCGTGGGAAGTTTCGTCGCATCCGTTGGGCGGGCAGGCCGGGGCCGGGGCCGGGGGCGAGTCCTCGTTCGCCGCAGCTTTAAAGAAACAGACGGCGTCGCGGCACCCGTCGCCGAGCCCAGCCCAGCCAGCCCAGCGCACTTGCACGCGGACACAAATTTAGCGTATGCCAAAATACATCAAAAAACGGTTTAATCATTTGCCATGAGGTCAGCTCAGCTCGCCATCCATCAACATAGACACAGAAACGTCATCCCTATACTTCATAGAGTGGCTTACACACGCACCATGGTATGAGTAATTTGCATTACATAGTAATTTCATTTCTTACTAAGGGAACAATAATGGACAAAGTTTGGGAGCTTGTTTCCAATTTGAATTACATACATCAACTTTGTCACGCGTCACAGTCCTAATGCATGTGTTATTTCAGACATGCCCTGTTTTTATTCTTTTAAAAGTTACTGCAAAAATAAATGTCACCAATGTGGAACACATTTGAGGTTGTATAAAAAGTACTCAACTGATATCTCAAAAACAGGTATACATAAGCAATACATAAGAAAAGACGAGTTTTAATATGAAACAGTAATTAAGTCACATACAACAGAAAAGACACATGGCCAAGTACGTATAAAATGTTACACATTACTAGCAAGCAAGGCTCTATTTATATATAATGAGAGGTACACATATTTAAGCATGAAGGATAGCAAAATTTCTATTAAAAAATAAAATGAAAAAGTGTCAGTCACTGATTTCATTTAAAAAAAAATGTCTCAGAACTAAACACTCACATTAGGTTGTTTGAACATCCCCACAATTTGTAAATGTGAAGTTTACACCCACACGTAATTAGGGCGCAAGACAGATGGGGAAAAGGAAAGGGGTTCACAGGTAGTTTACCTTCATCTCCAACTTGGGCAGCTTGTGTCCATGGGGATGGTGAGAGAGTAGTGCCGCCGCCCCCCCCGCCCCCGCTCAGGGCCAGTTCTGCAGAATGCAGCAGCAGCAAAGCCCCTCCCTGCTCTTAGGCCCTACTTTGGACCAGCAGATGGGTGGCCAAGTCGCTTGTCTGCAGAGTTTTGTAGCCACAGACAACTGAACCTGGAATGGGGGAGAGCTAGTCGCAAGAGGGGGCACTAGTCCTTCCCCAAATTCCAGGAGCGTGGAAGCTAGACTCAGTTACGGCACGAACGAAAGACCTCTTGAGATACCTACCAGGTTTCTATGGCTGAGTTCCACCACTTACGTCTGAATTAAATTGCCCAAATTAATATTTTTGCTCCAATTGTTTCCAGCCCAGAGGTAACGATCCATCCTGATTTATCTCCAAGGCAAACCAAAGGAAAAGAAATGCTCAGTGTGGGTGTTCATCTGTGTGTGCGCGTGACTTGTGGAAACTCACTCTGGTATTTTTTACTTATTGTTGGATTGATCTTCACAGCCATGAAGGCATCTTGCCATTTGCACAACGGAGACCCTAGAATTCCCGGAATGTGTGGCCACAACCAAATTTTGGATTCAGAGCTTTCTAGGTAGGGGACGCTTGTATCCCTCCACTTCAGAATGATGTCTGCCTCTTAAAGTCTTAGTTTCTTGCCGCCGCCGCCCACATCTGGATTAACATCTGCGCAGCTGCCCTGCTGTGGTGGCTGCTATCTGGGAGGCTTCCCCACTGCCTGGGTACATTCCCTTGAGGAGGAGGAGGAGGAAACAGCCAAGTTCCCGTCTGACTTGTGCGCAAAGGGATGGGCAAAGGGGTGCCAGTTTCCCAGCAACTCTTCCCGTTTCTAGGCCAGTGCGTGGAAATTCAAGTCCCCTCAAAACGCTAAAGATGATTTTTTAAAAAATGGCCACTGGGCTGCAAGGGAGCATAGCAAATGCAGCCCCCCCACAACGGATTGCAGCCAAGCTGCTGCTGCTGCTCTCTCAAGGGGGGGGCTGTCCCTCCTCATCCTAATCGCCAGGACAGAACTCAGCCACTGTGCCTGCGGCCACCCGGCCTGGCTCCCCACTCGCGAGGCCCCGCGGCCGGGATCTCGTGCTCAAGGAGCCGCCCGGGGCCCCGGTCCCTAAAGGCCAAGCCGGAATCAGAAGCGGTTCCGGCTCCCGAGGACTCTTCTCCAAGCGGCAGCGCATCTCCC